TGCTTAAATCATAAAATGGATCTTTAGCAACCTATTAAATATCATGAAATAATCATGGTGAAGAATACTAGACATTGAGGCATCCTCAAGAAAATAATAATGTTAAATTCCAAATTTTGGGTGGCTTTCTTACTCAAACCACAGGCTAGTAGGGCTACTTGCAGGGTGGCATCATGATGGTGTTCTTAGCCTGTTTGGCCAGACCCTTCAATGGCCAGTCCCCAGAAAAAAGATGGTCCCCTTCTGATGGAGTCTAGCAGGTGAGCTCCAGGTCCCAGCCAGCAAGAAGCAGCTTCCAGGTGATGACACTGCAAAGCCTGGTGACCCAGCACAGACAGATGAGCCTGTGGAGACTGAGAGGACAGGGAAGCCTGATGAACGTGGGCAGTCCGAAGAGGCAGGGAAGCCTTATGAGCCTGTGCAGTCTGAAGAGGCAGGGAAGCCTGGTGAACCTGAGCAGTCTGAAGAATAGTCTGATAAAGAGTAATCTGAAGAGTAGTCTGATGAGCCGGCGCCGGTTGAAGAGCTTGCAGAGCCTGAGATGCCTGCAGAGACACAAGGGCCTGGAAGGCCTGCAGAGATGAAGGAGCCTGAGATGCCTGCAGCGACGAGAGATCCTGCGACGTCTGATGAGGCTTCATATAGCCTCCTGCTCCAGAGATGGAATCTCTCCGTTGAGCGACTAAAATGGCCAAGTGGTCGACACGGGGTACCAAGGAGGCCCACAGATCTAACAGAATAGATCCAAATAAATAACCAGCCTCATATAATAGAAGGAATTAACCGCTAGATTTTCAACTCACCCCAAGAAGGAGAGGCCTCACTTTTGGAGATGTTCACCACAAAATAATGAGCGATGCCTATCTTGCCGAAAATGAATGTTGAAGTGGCGTCTCGACACTTTGGGAGGGATAGCCTCCTGCGCCTTTTCAGTACTTTACATCCCAAAAACTAACAATAAAAAACAGGATACATTTTATATGCAACCTCTGCGCACTAGAGGAAATACAGTATGGCTTTAAGCGCCCTACATGTGACTAAAATACTGACTTGTGATTCGCCCAGAATGAAATGACAGCTACGAAACAAACGATCATCCCCGACTTCTTTCGACTAGGATTCCACAGGGCCAGAATGAACAGATGCGACACGACCTTGACAAATACACGGAACGTTGCTCTTTGCCTTCCAGATGGATGACTAGCGCCAGTACCCTGAAAGTCATAAAACTATCCTGGCTGCAGTAATTCACTTTACCGTCCAACTGTTCGCTGCAGGTTCGGCGTTGGTCAGGTGCCGGTTAGGTGTAGGTTAGGTGCAGATACCCTTGCCCTCATCACTTGACAATTGGCAATCAACTTGATGAAAACGTCTAATGAAATTTCTATATTCCAATGATAACTCCACAATAGTAAACAAAACAATAATCATTGAAATTACTCATTCAAGTACAAAGACCATCAAATATGGTAGAGAAAGGAAATATACCAGCTAAATAATGCACAGAGGCCAAACATCCATCAAAGCCAAGGTCTTGAAAGAAATCCCTGAAGCACAAAAATCACACCCAGATTGAAAGAACATCCTGAACCAGGTGAGTACTTTCTTATTGTTATTTGAATAAATTGTTATATTTACTTGTATTTTCAGGTCGTAGAAGTCTGATCAACTGAAGGATCATCAATACAATCTATTGTCATGTGAATATGGTATATAAATAACGAATTTCAGATACAGTGTCTCAATGCTTTTATATGTGAATTATAAAGATGGAACCAAGAATTCGAGGAAAGGCAATTTTCACGTTACAAAATAAAAACGAAGAGTTGGAAATTTTTTTTGAATGAAATTCAATATTTGTCGCTGTAACACGTTACCCGTTGAACTGGCGAACAAAAAATCATCGAAAAAATTGGGGAATTCAGTATTGTTCAACTTTGTCCCAATCTTCTCCATCGTAAGATCAACCGTTGAAATTTTTTCTCGAGGGGACTAATTTTTTGTACCTATCATCAAAGATGGCGGGTCGAGCAGACCCCCCTCAAGGTCGAAATCTTGGTTTCGTCATTAGGTCCCCGAACTAAACAACAAATACCATTTTCATTACTACTTCAATTTTTGCAAGACATACCTCCCTAACTGATGGGCTATCAGTGAATTGGAGATGACTGACGAGTGACTGAACTAGTGTTCATAAGTGAGTGAGGTAAATCATTAAGGTATGATGAGGATTCTATTCGATTAGAATTGGTGGAACAGGAAGATATATCACCGAAATTGAATTTCACCTGTTAAACGATAATAAAGTACCGTAAAACTGTGAAACAATATATTTCGGGAGCTGGATAAATGATACTGTCTGTAGGTTAATCGAGGAGGTGGTACATTCATTTTACTTGGTTCTTTGGGATTTTCTCTCCTCGTTTCTATAAAATAAAAGTATTCGTATTATTTCAATATATTTGTAGAGGGACAAATCAGATGATTTGCCCCAAAATGTCACTGCGTTTAACAAATTTTTCTATCAGGGAGTCTAAAAGAAAAATCCAGTAGCTTGTCAGTGACAATTTGTTTGAAAAAATTTTTGAAGGAAAGAAATATAGATATATTGAAAAAATATCGAATTTGTACTTGTTGAGAACGGGAGCAGAATCGGTCCCGAAACGTCCAAAGATAAGTACAAATCCGATATTTTTTCAATATATCTATATTTCTTTCCTTCAAAAATTTTTTCAAACAAATTGTCACTGACAAGCTACTGGATTTTTCTTTTAGACTCCCTGATAGAAAAATTTGTTAAACGCAGTGACATTTTGGGGCAAATCATCTGATTTGTCCCTCTACAAATATATTGAAATAATACGAATACTTTTATTTTATAGAAACGAGGAGAGAAAATCCCAAAGAACCAAGTAAAATGGATAAATGATAATAATTCTCCAGATCACATCCTACCACTTTCATTTTGTCCTACATAGAATCCAAGGAGAAACATTTTCTGAAGGAAGATTGTGTTCTGGATGATTGACTTGTTTCACGTTCAACAGGTTCTTTTCACGTTCAGCAGTTTACAATTTATGGTTAATATGATCAGCACCTATCAGATTTTTCTGATTAGGTACTTCTATAACTTGATTCTACCAGTTGTAGCTGGCGACATGAATTGATACATTCCGGGTGTCCCAAAGAATGGAAACCAAACTTGCAGAAACATTGAATTGATGAAACATAAAAATAAAATGACAAATTCCTATAACTTTTTTTCCACGATCCCTATCTCCGAATATATAGCCCCCAAAAAACACCATTGAAAATCTCATTTTTTCATTAAAATGCGGATTCCTCATTTCGATTTGATCATTATTGAATATGGATTGAAATAAGTGTAACTGTATAATTTTGACATAAAATTGTTCAAACTTGTTGAAAGATTGAATCAAGTTATACGACTTTCTGGACAAATATAGTTATCATTTACAAAAAAAAAAGTTTGGGGTGAATGAAATCAAATAAATCAATTACGAAATGATAAGGGTATCACGTGATCATGTAATCATGTGATTCATTTCGGATTGTAAACTTGAGTTGGAGACAGAAGATGAGATGAGAAATGGAAATAAAATGGTTGAGTCACTCTGGAAATTTGAGAATTGTTATATCAGTATGGAAACGAACAGAAAAAATTTCACGAGCTTTTGATGTTGCATGATAACTCATTTATATGAAGGAATTAGAAATTTCACAAGACAATCTGACTATTTGAATGCTTCGAGGAAGTCGAAATGGTCGGAAAATACTATGGAATTATTATTTATTCCACTTGACAGAATGTCATCATCGCCAAATAGCTATTTGTTTTTAGAGCGCAAAGTGATATAGATTGCTGCTCGACAAAGAAAGTTACCTTTGGAGAGCGGCAAGAACACTTTGTGCTCGAAATACACACAAGATTTTTTCTACTCACGCAGCTTTCGGAACTAACTGCCCTGAAAGTATGAGCTATTGAAATTGTTGAAAAATTTCTTATCCATATTATCCCATATGTCCAAAGAAAACAGAAAAAGGAAAATTTAAATAACTGACAAGCCAGAAAAAAATTTCGGGCCTACCAAGAATCGAAACTGGACCACCAGCGTGGCAACCTGAGCTTCAGACCTCTGAGTCATAGTACGATAAACTCTGCAATCAAATTGAACATTACTCATTGATGCAATGAAATAAAGATACACTGTCTCTCTGATGACAACAAAGAGTTCAAATATAAAGTATAATTCATCGTTTTCAACAGATATGCTTCATCGGGATCACCTCGTATAAATTTGTTGGCATATGTCTTCAGCAGTGAATGTTTCAGATTTTTCTCGCTTTTTATACAATAGGTAGATTATTTCTTGAGAAATGCGATGAAGTTTCAGATACCTATTGATTCCGATATTATTCTCAACATTCATGTATACGTACCATCCAATATATATAGACCAATTAGTTGATGACTTCAAAGTCTTCGATTTTTCACCAAAATAAGCCAGTGAAACGTACGTTTTCTGAATACAATACTCTTTCCCCTTCTTGGAGTGGCACCAATTCATGGATGTATCATATTGTTATTCATATTTCTTCCTTGATTCCTCAGGTAGGAAATTCAAACTTTTGCGCTTTCTGCTATATCAGGAGGCGTGTTTGATGGATCACGGTCACTATTTTCCATCATGAAAGAATCGGGGGTTTTCAAGAATAGATAAGTATAGGTTACAGAGATGTGCGAGCGCTAATGCTGTCAAAGAATGACATTTCTGGGAAAACGTCAAATTTGTGCTGGAATTTGAAAGCGTCAAAGGCTACTTTGTTAAGCGAAAAAAATATTTTCTCACAGAAACTTATATCAAACTGTCAAGTAATTCGACAGTCCAATTTGTATTCTTCAAATCTTACGTACTCCACATAGATGGCGATATTTTCAGAGGAAATTACATAGAATACGCAAATTGAAGACTAGTCTGTATTGGCTTTCTCGAATCATTCTTTTATTCACTTACAAAAATATTTACAGCAAAAATAACAAACAGTTCTTTCCAGAAATTGTAGAGATCTCTAGGAAAAAATATCATTGATCATCATTATTATCGAATATTTTTATTTCGGAATGTGATCTCCTTGAGGTTGGAATCCATTTTCGTCAGCAATGTAGGTCACTGTGTAAGTAACTCCATTCCAGTTGAAGGTGTATGATCCTTTGACTTGCATACTCTCGTTTTCACTCCCTACGTTTGCTAGTTGACCAGATTCTTGTTGGGAGATGCCATTGCTCGTCTCAAATCTTGAAAAAAAAAATGTCTATAAGAAATATGATATGATTCAGTGACTTTTCTTCAAAATCTGACTATACCACTTTCACTAAATGTATTTTTTTTTCTGATTCGAAGTTAGTAGAATACCATTGAACGGAATATTGGGATATTCTTGATGTTAAAGCAATTTCATATATTGACATATTTTATGTGAGGGAAAAAGCAGAAATACATCGATAGTGAGAGTGGGACTTCTTCATACAATAATGAACGAGTCAACAAAAGAGAAATAGAAGATTTCTGTTCGAAAATAGAAGATTTCTGTTCGACTTCAACAAATATTGACATTCGGATTCATATAGGGTTGTCAAAAAAACGGAATTTCGTTCTTGAATAATAACTTTTTCACCATTGAACCAATTTTATTGATTTTGGTCTTGTTTGGAAAATAATTGAACAAGACAGAACGTCATTTACATATTCTTCGAATTCTTTGAGGAAACAAAATGACGGACACGCCCAAACTTGGTGAAACTATTGAACTTGCTGAAACCTTTTTAAGTCCCACTGTACATTTTTGAGTATGATATTCTGAAAGTGCGAACTTTTTTAAATAGAACAAGATGTCGAACATATGAATCCGTCGAAAAATGACTGATTTATGACTCTATTCACGTACGAAATGTCAATAATTCAGAAGACAAGCGATATTTGTTATATCTGTGGTCACTCAATAATCATTACTCACCCACTTGATTTTGCTAGATTGCGAAAAAAATAGGAATCAAAATGTGACAACACACCTGTATTTATTCAGTCATGTATCAGTCATTTTTCGACGGATTCGAATGTTCGACATCTTGTTCTATTCAGAAAAGTTCGTGCTTCTAGAATATCATACGCGAAATTATACAGTGGGACTCAAAAACTTTCCAGCAAGTTTAGAAGTTTGACCAAGTTTAGGCGTGCCCGCCATTTTGTATTCTGAAAGATTTCGAAGAATATGAAACTGCCGTTTTGTCTCGTTCAATTATCTTTCAAACAAGACCAAAACCAATGAAATCGTTCCAATAATAAAAAACTAATTATTCAAGAACGTGATTCCGATTTCTTTTGGACAACCCTATGATATATTGTTCCACTGTCCAATTTTAAAAAATAATATAAGATTCGGGAATTGGTCAACATCTAGGCGATCATGCAATTCATTTGATTCAACAGCCGATTACCCTGAGCCCTACCCTGGACTCGTACCTGATCAATAATGTTGATATCATGCATGTAGCATGATCAGAAATCATTCGAATTATCAGAATGTTCGCTACTGATGTTTTTTTGTTATGACATATTTCAGTGAGAAAAATGTGTGAATCACATATTGTTTCTCTCATTGATGATCAATGATATCTGGCAAAGTAAAATGATGATAAACGGAATAGTAAAAAAATCAGTTTGCATTCTTTTGTACGAAGGTGATAACATTCCTTGCTGTTCAGTTGATTTTTGTGAATCATGGTATACACTTCCAGAATCTGGGTATGACAATAGGGCATTCATGATGATTAAAAAAAAATGGTTGTTTCCTGACAACTTCTGTCACTAAGGAGTGTCATAACACAGAAAGAAGACACAAATATCAAGATCAATTAGATATCGAAAACCTGGGCATTGGTTTACGAAACGTTCGAAGATACGAATATCCTCATATTTTCCTAATGAACTTATATTCGTTTGTGTTTTTCGAACATTTTCTGACCAAGACGGTACTGACTATCGATTGTTGTCTTCAACTCAACTTTTTCACATGGAAATTCCAAGTTCAGTGACATTTAGGACGGATCATCATCTCCTTCCTACAGGTATATCCAAATAATACCCACATCGTTTTCGATAGAGAGGATAGGAGATCCCAAAAATCCAGAGGAAAGACTATAGAGCAAGAGAAAAAGATGAACGTAATGAAGATAATTAAAATGACTGCTCGATCAAGAGGGAAACATTGGGTACGCCATTGCAATAATCTGCAGAAAAATGTATTCATTCCATCTCGAATGATAACTGAGATTGAAGATTCTCATGGTTACATCGGTTCCATCTACTGAAGAACATTCGCAAACAATTACTAATATGGGCCATGCTTTTATGTGCTTCTACAACTACAAGACGTGAGAGTGAATGACTGTTGAGATTAATATATCGTTAAGGCAATGAAAATGACTGATTGCAGTAATAAACCAGCGAGAATTTCTCATCAATCTGAAATGCAATACATGAACTGTTGACAGAGGTATATTCGTTCAGCTGATTTCATATCTCATATAGTTAACATACTCCACGTTGTCTCCTCAACGTTCAATATCATCAAATCATAAATGGAAGGGAAACAAGATCTTGATCTATGAAGTAACATCATCAGCCGATTGAAGCATCATTTTCCGAAAAACGAAGCGACGAAAATGAGGTTCTGATTGTAAAACATACTAGTACGAACGTGAATAAGAAAAACGTATATCGGAATCACATAGAAATTAACAGAATCGTTTTATGAAACAAAATACGTTTGCTATCACAGAATTTCTCAACATTGGCCCTGTGCCCTAATGAGAAGATGAAATCGTCACTTCAGGCCGGGCTGAAAACAAACGAAAATAAAAAAACGTTTTCATCTTGATTCCACTTGATTACCCTGATAACATGTGACCAAATGTGAATGTCATTCCCATCTCTGACAGACAACAATAACTTCAGCTGTAGAAGGTGATGCATGACAAGAGACAATCGGTCACATGGAATTCATGACCAACTTGTGGATAAGGAACATCAAAATGTGAAGATAGTAGTAGTAGTAGTAATAGTGTGAAATATCCAGATCCTATTGAACGATTGAAGATAATTAAATATGTATATATCAAAATGAAAATAGAACTGTGCCACTATTATGGAACATTATGAATTGATTTCGCATTCCATCAGTTTCTCGAATCTAAGAAATCTCTACTTTTGAAGCGCGGGTTCTTAGGTATTACTCCACCTTGAGTTGAGTTATTTGAAGACAAGAAATAAATATCTACCTATATTTCTATCTATCGATCGATCTGAATTCAAGAAATTCGTTGAACGATATTGTTTCGTTATACCCATGAATAATTCACTTTTTAACGGTCATAATAAGAAATTGACCTTGTTTAACTGTGTTCGGTTAATCAATGAGGAACATTGTATGCCATCAATTCTATTTCCGTATCTGATATCACAATGACTTCATTTTCTTCTGATTTCACAAAAAGAAAGGTATCATCAAGAGAAAATCAGATTGCTACAAGCCAAAGAAGAAGTTTAGTGTATATCTTGCACGAAATGCAAATGCAAATGATTTGCAGCATTTGCCTACGACTCATGCTGCGAACTGCTGCTACCCTTCAGCTGCATGAAAAGAAAATATCGAAAAATCAGGTTTCGCAGTCTTACGTTGAAACATCTCGTAGTGATAGTGCTGTTTGACATTTTTCAGATTAATTCACAGCATGAAACCATCAATTTTTTTTACTGATTATTTTTTGAATTATATACCCCTTCTGTTCTCATGTAAGTTAAAAAACTTCATGACTACGATTTCGAAAAGTTTGGAGAACATCAGTCATACATTCACCTCATGATATGAGTTATAAATGTACATTGCGAAGTGTCACCATCATTCTGTTCTCTTTATTATTCATGATCATGGAGAGAGTAATGAAGATGACAATCATGACGCAACAAGTTGGAATTTCCCATGAAAGTCATCATGATGAAGGTAGCTCATACTGTATGCATTCCTTGTATGAGATATGGAGATTCAATCGAATCAATATTTTGCATTTCAACCTTGATAATTTGAAAGGACTATTCAACATGAACTCGACATTTCATCAGGTTAATATAAGTTATACATTCTCAAGTACACCTGTTACATAATAACTACTCACTGTTTGAACCAGAATACAATACCATCAATATGAAATGCTGGTTTCAGAACTGGAAGGAGATAGTAAAGTTTATGAGAGCAGATTACTTGTTCTACTCAGGAATAGTTCCAAGATGAAAATATTGAAAGTATCGGAACCTATTTATTTGAACTTGTATACTGAATGAGGTTTATGGAAAAATAATATTCATGACCCAAAAACAACCTGACCAATACTCCATCATTGATCAATGACTATCCCAATTGGGTGACATAATTCTGAATCTTCTAATGATTAACCACTCAGCCCAATACATTATGTGGAATACCATAAAATACCATAAAATAATCATTATTTTTGTTCACGGTGAACAAGTTCCGAAATATGATGATCGACTCAAATATTTCTTGCCTGATTACAATACCAAATCAATTAGGCTCCATATCTCGTCCAGTTGATTCGGAATATATCACTATTATCATAAAAATACTTCAGATGATTGAATGAACTGATTGAAATAATTGCATCGATGAAAACAGAAGAGTGGGTGGTGTTCTTACAACTTCAGAAAAAAGCACCAACGTCGAAATAAAGTGGTTAAGTTACCACAATGGTCGATGGAAATAACTCGTCAACCACGTTGTTTCTACAGAAACATTTTCTCAACTACTTCTTTGATATCTATCATTTGTTTTTCACATAAAGATACACGTATTTTCAACATCATTAGTACATGATTTAACGACTTATACTGAGTACACTGAAAGTTATGAATATTTGAATTCAGAACATTGATGAATCAAACAATAATTTGTTGTTCCAGAATATCATTCCTGGCGAACAAATTGTGATGAATTGTGGGGAATAGAGAGTCTAATCAACGTTTGAATATCTGTGTAACAAAATTTCAACGTCGATGTTTTCAACCTCTCACGTTATTTCTACGATTCCAACCGTTATTCAACGTTATATAAACGAATATGTGCTAGTGGAATCAATATCCTGGATAGCGCGAATGACGGAAATCGTGTTTTGATTGATGATGCGTATTATTGATGCGAATGTGTAGAGGAAACAAAATGAATTAAAATAAATATAAAGACCACGAAATATGAAGGAAATATGGATTCGAACTGAAAAAAAATATTTAAAGACTTACGCGAAATTGTATCCATCGATTCCGGTATTATCGCTATCGTATTTGGTAACAACGGCATCCTTATCTGCCTGTTGAGGGGCGGCAGCAGCCACAGCCATGATGGCGAAGAGGACAAAGATCTGAAAATACATAAATTTCGAATATCCTAATAAATTGAACCAGAGAGATGAATGAGAGTTCCACATGGAAAACATGAAAATTCAATATGTTCAGAAAATATGAATCCTTGAGAAGTTCTCAATGGAAGTTATCAACATTTGATGGTAAGTGACAGTTCGACAACGATATAAAATATATAGAAAATGAGAGGGATTCATATCACCTCCATGAAATTGAGAAGAATTCGCTATTTATTATTATTTATATCATAATATTGATATTCGTTCGATGTTTTTCCAATGAATCCATCTCTCTATACGAAACCTCGAGAATAATGCCAAAGTTGGTTGACTTCTGTTCAAGATCTATTTAATGCAATACGAGCAAGTGAAAAGTCACATATTCATGGTCCTGAATGAAATTCATACATATATATATAACATTGATTGCAAATTGTTGTTATTCCAGTCATGAACTGTTCAATCGTTATTATGACTTCAAATTTCTTCTCGTTTATGCAGGGTGTATCTGAATAATATCAAGAAATTTCGAGAGGTGTTTCCTTGTGATATTATTGCAAATGAATTGTCCTAACTTGCTCCGTTTTTGAGATACAGGATGTTGAAGTTGGAAGTAGTAATTGTTTTCATTTATAACCTCCCTTCATGAGCTTTTATGGTGCTAACATCCAGTATAGATGGGGATGGAGAAAGCCACCACATTCCAAAATGATTCTGAATGGGGTTATTGAGTTATCTCAATGGGAGTCTTGAAAACACCTTCATTAAAAGTCGAATCAATTTTTTTTTTTTTTCGAAAACTGAGCTAGATACAAGAATCATACATAGGTTGCAGAAGTTGTTATCTCAATAGTTCGAACTGATGAAAATATAAAACTCAGAACAAGCAAAGGCGTACAATGTCATTCACCATGAATATCGATAAATTATATATATTATTCCGAATCTTATTGCACAGGAAGGAGCTCCATATTACTATCAACAAAATCACAACGTTCTTTTAGAATTTCGAAAACGAAGTAAGTTAGCATATATATTTAGATGAACTTTATCACCTAAAATACTACAAGGAGTCACCCCTTGAATTTTTTCGGTGTAATTCAGATATTCTTCACATCTGATACATCTTCTTCACTCACATCGATCATTATAAAAAAATACAACACATTGGAGTCCATATATATTAAATTCCGAATCAATAATTTTACCACATACCTATCTCATTCCTGATCAAATATCGAAAAATGGTATTGGGCATATTTGAAGATCAACTGAAATAACAGGGATATTTCAACGAATTGAACTTGTCATGTAAACCCTTTTGCCCATGACTCTTATACATAAAAGATGAGAATGGTCGAAATGGAAAGAACTTCTGACATGAACTTACTAGTAGATACATGTTTTCACAGTGTAGGAGAATTTTTCTCATCATTAATCTTTGATTCTGACAATTTGAATATTTCTATATAATATTTGTATTATCAGAAAGAAAATGAATGATCTATTACTATTATTTTGAATAAGATATCATGATGAATATATGTGGTACTGATGCATTGCAATGCTCTATAACTCAAAACTAGTATAACCGTGACCCTACTTGGTTGTCTATCGAAACTAAAATTGAATCATTCTGTATATGAATATCTATCACAGTCGTCTTCATTCCAGCCCATTTTTCGACAGAATACTTTACACGATGTGGAAATAAATGTACTCTAACAAGAATAAGTGACATTATCAAATAAAAACAACGTAGAATGTTTATCCATTTTTCATAATGAACTGAAACAAAAAACAGCTAATAAAGTACTGAAAAACACAAAAGTGAGTTTGAAATAGAAACCATATCGAGATATTGAATGGAATCATCGACCAGATATCACGTATCCATTTGGATATAATGTTTCTCAGATAGTAACTAGCAATTTGAGAGCATATTATACGAGTCACAATTTTGAATAAAGATTTTCCACCAGTTATCTTTATTATAGCTACCATAACTCCAAAAATAAGTCACGTCCATTGATTGATAACCGTGAAAAACGGTCTCGATGAATTCTTGCCCACCCACACTCACCATTTTCATTTTTGTTACACGGTTTTATACAATTTATTCACCCAAATACTTTAACTGCAGACGTGATGAAGAAGCGCATCTTTTATACTTCCCTCTATTCGGTACCATCGCTCCATGTCTCGAGGCCTGACATTTACCTCCCCCTCGTGCACATCTTCATTTCGGTATTGTGTACTAAAAGTTCATACGTGCGGACTGCTGCACTGAGAATCTTCTGCCCTCGGGCGCCTTTATCTAGAAGAAATTGATAATTGCTGGGTTGGGCCTTCATGAAGAAAGAAACGTCTCAAGAACGACAGGACTATTAAAAGAATGGGCCGGCTCATTTCATAATACACAGCAATTTCGGAATGTATTCATGGAATAAAATATCACAAGCAATTAGTTCCCACAACAAAATTTGAAACCCACGACACCATGATTCGCTTACACAGTAGCTCCTTCAAATGATGTCATAGACTCAAGATCAAGTGAATAATAATTAGAACGGTACGAGCCTAGTCCAGAGAAATTTGATTTTATAATTCAAAAGCAAAGATTCAATCTAGTTAACAATACTGAAAGGTTCATTTCAGGAAACTTTGTGATTTTTCGAATAATTATTGGAATAAAATGTTTGTCTCTTCCAAATTCTCTCTAGCGATCTAATCTAATGAATTTTGTAGCAGACTCATCAACATATCTCTTTCCGATTCATGTACTGATATTTTTACGAGCGTCAATACTAATTCTTGTTTTGTAACTTGATTGTGAAATGGAGTTTTTCGAAAATTTAATTTCATACGTGAAATGAAAATCCTGGAAAGAACCAGGAATAAGTACCTGGTAGCACGTTATAAATTACCACCCACTTCAACTGTTTTATATTTGACAGTTGATGAAAATATCCCAAATTGCCTCATAGGTGATATTGCTTACGTCATGAATCAGAAAGTGCGTTTGAACTATCTGAAAAAGTATATACGAAGCAGCAATTAGTTCATTAATCTTGAATTGAACACCCTCACCATTGAAAAATTCTTTTGAAGAGCATTCCGACAATACCTCACTCAGTGTATTCATCTACTTTATTTCCCAAGATATGAGCTTTCGAAACTTCGATCGATTTAGTATGAATCTCTAGAGGAGACTATGGCAATGATAACTGATATTGATCATCAGTTATCACAGAGAGGACATGAGAATTATTTGTCATAGGTAGCGAAATGGGGATAATATATACCTGGATCTGCAATCAACCTTCGTATAACAAACGTTCTTCAGACAACATTCATTTCATATCTATCTGAAGTACAAGGCATTCACAATAACCAAATGGAACTATCTTCCGATGTACATCGTTGAATATCCAGCTCATGTTCAAGGGTTTATTCCAACTGAAAGCCGATTCACGTCCATAAACGCGAATCAAATATACATCAGTTTATCTATACCGGATACTTTGCAGTACAAATCAGACATTCATAAGTTCTTTATTAGGAAAAAGAAAGTCTGGAATCATCTGTCGAACGTGCTTTATGATCATTCGTTCTGGTGGCTGAACTATCTTGATAATTGCCAAAATTTCATTGTTGATTTATGCCTCCAGCCTCACACGGCCTCAACGTTACAATTAAGTAGGCACTTTTCAATGGGCACACGTACGTTCCGTGAACTTTTAATCAACGTAGATCAGGTTGAATAGACGTTTATGGTTAAGACTAAACGTTCAAAACACGTATCGGAAACTATATGTCCTAACGATCCATGAAATTCGTACGTTGATAAAACGTTTTCCCAAAACGTTGAACAAGCTCTTGGGATAAACGTTTCTTCAACGCGAATACTTCATCATTTTTTAACTGATAGTATGAAAAAAAAAGGTGAATTGAACGTTATTCAACTACATTTTTCAGTCTTCATTTGACAACGTTCATTATACCTTGTTGTTGAACTATTTTTCAACTCATAGTTGAACTCCTAGCAGATATATAACGTTTATTCGAAACGTTTGTTGAACCCTTGGAATGATCGTTTTTCTCAACGTTATTCTTTCAACAAAAATCAACTGCTGGTCAAGAAATCAACGTGTTGAAAATGTTTTTCAACAAAGTTTCCCCACCGTTATTTTCCAATGTGCATGTTGCATTATACATGAATATCTTAGGTCCTAGAATGCGGAACTGGAAATGCGGAATTAGGAAATGTCGTAAACTTTTCTTGAAAATCGTTTGAAGGTCCTTTTTTGAAATTAATGAGGTGTTTTATTCAACGTTCATACACTCTCTGCTGGTCCCTGTATATCTTCTCAGATTGTGAAAACGTATCATCTGATTCAAAAAGCAAAAATATCGTTTTGTCAGGCTTTGTTTCAAAATCCTTCCTTCTTTCAACAATTAAACAATCACATGGAGATGTACCATATCACCAGGTATATCGTGGAAACACCGGTTTTCTGATAAAATAGTCTAAATACTCTCAATGCTCACCAAAATAATGATAACCGCTTCTACCTTATCCCACTGCTCATTCTGAAAAGAGTATTAAATTAACCGTCACTCAATTGATCTCATTCTGACGCAAAACACCGAACTGAGAAACTAACAATTTGTTTTCGGAATACAAAATGGATCACGAAAGAACAGATGATAAAAGATTGCTTCTTCATGATCAGAAGTGACACTCCGTTTGACAAGCGAATTTAGCATTCGCGAGGCAGAGCGTCTAGCGAAGCCGAGCGTAAGCAAAGTTTGCAAGATTATATCACATTGAAATATTGGTGGACGATGCTTCAACTTTGGTTCAATTCGTTCGAATATGCATCATCAGATACTGCATGCACGAATTCAATAGTATTCCCGGAACTCATATGCCGTGCCATATGTATGCAATGCAACGAATAATCCGTGTGGTGAGAATATGCTATCTGCATTGGCAGATCAGGTTCATTCAATTTTCGAGGATGTATTTTGATGTTTCAATATAATTTCAAACAAATAGTGACCCATTTCAGTATCCTATTGAGTCGATGATTTCATGAATTCTGTTGAACCAGGTGTCTGTCCTAATAGCAAATACTGTGCCAGTGTCAGGTATAGGAAAATGAGTGGAAAATGTTAGGTAAGTGAGCATATCGACAATGATAAACAAATGAAGGTGAACAATATCGTTGTGTAGGACAAAAAAGTATTGCTGGTCGTGATTATTCAAGAACAAGTTATAGTCAATCAATCAGATCCCGAGGATGAATGAAACACAGATCAAGGAAGTATATGAATCTTGATGGCTTTCCTGTGTAATAGGATGGTCCTTATTATCACTCATTATCTTATAGAAGGAAATCTGTATGTCATTTATAATGATCGATATCAACTTGATCATCACATCGTCAAACTTCGAATGTATCACTATCTAACTTACAAACTAGTTCACATCGGAATCAGGTGAAATACTGACTACGTAATATCCATAGATCTAAAAACACTCTCTATACCTAATCAAACAATATCATCCTCCACCTTTCAACCTTCTCAATTTCCTTACATTAAATCTTGATATTCATCATAACTATTTTTCATCTATCTTATACACTACACCGTCAAAAAAAAAACATTAACTTATTTCAATATTTTTTTTCTAAAATGTCTTGAACCTAACTGCTTGGAACATTCTCTAGTCAAGATTTATTTTTGTGTACCTCAATTAACTTATCTTCTTTTCTCAACAACATTGGGAGTTTTCCCCTCTGCAACCTCGTATGGTCCTCTGAATAAAGGCTCTAACTTATAAGATGGATTATCATTTTTCAACGATACATCTCCTATTTTATAATTGATCGAGTTGCTATTCATATCCCAAGATTCTTTTTTTTTCAGTTTTGTATTCCAACAAATCAATTTTGGCATCTTTCCACGCTCTTCGTAACCTGAAATTGATTTGTACCAAATAGTCCTCGAAGTTAGGGTCTACTTTGTTGACAATATTTGATGGAAGTTGGCAATTTTTCCTGAAAACAAGTTTATACGGAGTGTAACGTGTTTCTTTATGAACCGTGTTATTTTCAGGAAAGCACCAATAGACTACCCACGAACTTCAACTGTCCAGATGCTTTGCCATCTGGATACGCAAAAAAGGGCCCAAGTTTTTATGGTTATTTTCAAGTGCTCCCAAAGACTCGTTATGGTGAGCTGCAGATTTCAATTATGTTATACCTAGCTACTTACAAGTTCCCTGAAATGTCGAAGCGAAAATCTCAGTATCATGGTCGGTTCCTATCACTTTAGGTATACCAAACCTCGAGATAAAATTTTCTACAAAAGCTTTTGCAACCGTTACCGCTTTCTCATTGGGTATGGGATAGCCTTCAACAAACTCAGAGAGTTCGCATTGTACAGTGAGAATATATCGATTATTGCTCTCGTCAGGATCGAGTGGCCCTACAAGATCAAGATATATTTTTTGCAAAGCTGTTTCTGCGGTAGTGGTAATTGTCAATGGTTTCTTATCAGGTCTGGAATGCTTATACCTTCGACAATCATCACATCGCTGCACGAACCTTTCAACTTCGGTTTTCAAACCAGGCCAAAAATAATATTTTTTTATATTATCATACATCATGCATTATCAATTGTCTGGTTTCTTTATCATCAATCATTTAGACGTCCTTTATTATGTAAATTTTCATACCGGTATTTTCCAAATTACTTTTCATTTTCATGACACTCTCAATTATCAACTTGGGATTCTCCTTATTGATAAAACAAAATTCTGGAATTCTTCTCCTCCTGAGTGATCAATCCTGCTATGTGTAGAAATCGTCATAACGAACATGTTATCAGAAACTCTCTCGAACACATGACTGTGAGTTCGTCTGATTCAATCTGAATTCTAGGAAGAGGATCTGACATAACATTTTCAGAACCCTTTCTGTAACTTACTGTGGAATCAAACTCTTCTTATACCAATTTGAATTTAGTAAGGCAACTCGATGGATTGGTCATACCGAATGAATACACTAACGATCTATGGTCTGTCAATATATCAAATTTTCGACAATACATATACGGCCCAAAATGTTTCACTGGAAATACAATTGCCAGTAACTCTTTTCCGATTGTACAA